TGCAGTGTAGTCGCCACTCCGCCCCCAGGAGTGAGCTTTCTCACTCTCTCTCTCTCTCTAACCTCTTCTAAGTGTGCATGCCCTAGAGAAAATTTAAAAAAAGAAAAATGTAGATCAGAAACCTAAATGTAAAATCTAAATCTATAATGATTACTGAAAGGAAATCCTTATGACCTTGACTTAAGCAAAAGGTTTTTGGTTGCACCATCAAAAGCATGATCCACAACAGAATACATTGAAATATTAATATTCATCAAAATGTAAAATTCTGCTCTTCAAAGTCATTAAGAGGGACAAGCAGATGGTGTGGTGGTTAAGACGCTAAACTTCCACATGGTCAACAGTGGTTCAAGTCCTGAGCCTGGAGGATTGAGACTCATGCTGAGCATGTGTGTCCAAAATCCTGAGAGGAAAATGGAGTTGAAGTAGTGGTGGCCATCCACCCCAGGGGGTTGATCTCCTGCTTTCTGCCTCTCTGTCTCTTCAGGGAGTGCACATGTCCCGCAGCAAAAATCTTTTTAAAAAAATAATAATAATTAAGAGAATGACTGGGAAAATATCTGAGAAATGGCAAGTACAGAATATATCAAGCACTCACAAAACTGAATAATAAAACAGAATTAAAGGCAAAAATCTCTACAAAAAAAATGGCAGTGGGTGAGGTTAAATTCATGCTTTCATAAGCATGTAAGTATGTAATCTTAGGTGCCCTTTTGGAGGGAAATTTGGCAGAATTGAAAAAAATTAAACATACTTTACTTTTTAATATAGCAAGTCCTTTGTAAGTATTATATTTTTCCTAGAATAATATTTGTCCATGTGCATAAGTAAGCATCTACACGGAAGTTTATAGCAACTTTGTTTATAACAGCAAAAAAGAACACAATTTGAGTGACAAACAATAGAAGAATGGTGAATAAAAAAAGATGACTTTGGAGGAGAAAGCAAATTGAGGCAAAAAAGAAGATTATGAAGTCCTTTGTAAGTATTATATTTTTCCTAGAATAATATTTGTCCATGTGCATAAGTAAGCATCTACACGGAAGTTTATAGCAACTTTGTTTATAACAGCAAAAAAGAACACAATTTGAGTGACAAACAATAGAAGAATGGTGAATAAAAAAAGATGACTTTGGAGGAGAAAGCAAATTGAGGCAAAAAAGAAGATTATGCCTTCATTTCTTACCTCTATTCTATTCTTTTTTAAAAATAATTATTTA